ATGTAATCTGGAACTTCCAACTGAACTAGCGCATGCGATTCTAATTAGGCGAACTTCGACAGAGGCTTTCGTGTTATACGTAACTATGCGTCACAGGTGATATTAAATGATCAATCAATGATTTATGCGCGATAAAACAGCAAACCTAAATAACTTAATACAATTTTTCACCCCCATTAAGCGACCATATTTAATAACATTATATTTTAGGTTTGCATTATATTTAATTTATATAATGTTCTTTTGTTAATCAGATCGTTATCTAGAAATTGTAACATTATGCGATAAAGCATTCTGATCAGATTTTATTCCAAGATAAGGAAATATTTATAATAAAGTTCCAGATCTATCGTATAAATCACCAAGCAAAGAATCTATTGAAAGCATAAGAAAATAAATTGCATTAATTTTATATTGAAAAGTAACTAGTCTTGAATAATGAAAGAATGAATCACCGATAATGGTTAAAAGGACATTAACAATATTGTACGTCGTTGTTGCCTCTCCTTGAAGTTACACAACAAGTAATATTTAAAAAATAATCATCTCCTTTCGCCTTTGGATCCGGCGAAAATACGATTTACCGTAACATAACCATATATATGTTGCTGAACGATCATCTTGTCTAGAATAATACTAGTAGCCTACTGAACAACCAATGGAGATTTAATAGGACGATAAAGTGAAATAATTTTACGATTCACTGGTTTTCCTGAGGTCACCGAGACAAACGTGTTTGTCCACGCAATTGTTCACGATACATAGAAACATGTAATTAATACTAAACCTTCCACGGTCAAATGACCAGTGAATGAAAAAGCAATAGAATTTTGAAAAAATGGAATAACAGAGGACAATGAAAAATCGATTATACGTATATTGGAAAAAAATCGCAAAGGCAAGTGACTAAGATAATAACATTGAACGTAGAATTTTACATGACAGTTGGTTTTTTGAACATGGTTCGCAGAATCAATTGAGTACATTCTATATTTCAAGTCAATTTTAAATAATTTTCATTTCAATTTTGAGAATTCCAAATAATTCTATATAAATTACGAATAAATGTATGATTCTAAGCAAACTTTAAATAAATTCGAATAATTTTGTGTAAGTTCTGAGTCAATTTTAAGTAATAACGAGAAAACATTGAGAAGATTTCAAGTTATTCCAAACAAAGTTTGTGTGCATTTATAATAATTCTAAAAATACTTTGAGCGAATTTATTAATAATTCTGAGCAAACTTAGAACTAATTCTTTATCACAACTACTCGAGATCACATCATTGCGAATAGCAAACAGAATGTTCACTATCGATGAAGACTTTTTTCCAGAAACAGGAAACCCTATTGAGAACCACTGATTAAACAATTACAATAATTAATTTTACTTTAACTCATTCTGATATTTTGTTTTAGCTTTGTTATTGACAGTATCTGGAATGTCCTACCATGTCCTGATTGTCAATTATACTTCATCATAGAAAAAAGTAAAAAAAAAATGGAAATATATACATATAATGATAAAAGCAAAATATACACAATTTCAAGTATGTATTAATAATTATATTTGTTACACTTACTATTAGTTTTACACGGACACGTGCACTAACTTTATCACAATAAATTTGCTAGAAAATACAGAAAACGACAAATTCGTGTATTTTTGAGACAAAACAGTTCGTCAACAACGAGGTATCGTCGAGGAAGTTACGATATTCGTCGACATCGATAGACAGCGTCGAAGAGGCCAGACAGCGATAGCGGTGAAACACAGCAACACAAAAGATGCAGAGAGGTGGTGGCAGAATGGGGGACAACGAACAATTCAGGGTCCTCATAACCGGTTCTATATAAAAGCACATGCTACGTCAACGGGAGGAGACATTCTCACTGGAGTAATCGAGCCAGTGATGACCGAGTCGTAAGGTCATCGAGTTGCAACCTGAACAACTACGCTGTGGACTGTTACAAATTTTCGGCACAACTACCTAGTGTATCCATTGTCAATCGTCTCTATTGACACGAACAACTAACCTCAGAAGATACAGAATACACAAAAACATATAAAATCAAGAGAAGATGTTGAAATAATCGTAAAAGACAGTAAGTGTCGTGCACAGAAGACAAGAAAGAAAAATCGTGATTAAAGATAAACGTAGAAGAACAAATCGAAGAAACGTGACGAAGAAACGAAAGGAAAGATTCTGTGAGAGGAAAAGGAAAGCGGAACAAGTAAACAGGGAAGATAAGAACCTAGTGTTTCGCGATTAGATTGACAGAAAGTGTGAATAAGAGGAAGACGTGGACAAAGAAAAGGAAAAGCCGAGGGCAACGGTTTCGACAATCCAGTGGTATATGCCCGTGACGTGTACTCTCGCTGAGAAATCGAGCGGTAGAGTGAAAGTCAGCTGCCTCCTAAATTCAATCGAGTTTCGAGTGTGCTAGACGTTGTTTAACAATACCGCTCACTTATTTGGGAATTCTTCCTTGGATACCTGCTGAAGTAAGGAAACGAAATCGAAGGCAAGACGTAAACAAAAGAAGTCAAGACTCGTGAGACACTACTTCTAAGGTGAGCGAACAAAAAGGCAAAACGATCATCCACCTGTGTTGAGAAACATAGTAATAAATGATTCGTATGAAAGTTACAGCTGGAGGGACGTTCCGTTCGACTTTAATCGTCTGACAAAAAGTGTTGGTGAAAGTTGGCAATTTGCCAAGAAATGATTAAAGAGTCGTACAACCAAAAACTTTCGAGAACTCCTAGCATTTATTTATTTTTTATCGTTCATTCTCATTTTAACGTAATTTAGAATTCAGAACGTGAAGAAATAATGGAAAAGTGTATTTCTGTCAAATGGGAAATGTTGGTTTCAAAACTTGATTATACTGACTTTCTTATACTGACTTTCTATCGATGGAAATTAAATTCCAGCGGGATATAGCGAAAAGTAACATAGAAACTAAAATAATTGTGAAAGATATTTTCTTTGACGTATTCTCTCAATGTATCTATAGATACCAAGAATGTTGTACGAATATTTAATACTTTCCCTGTCACTTGCTTCGCATACGCTTTACGCTAAACTTGCCGTTTAAGATGAATGTACTTCATTACTTCATTATTTTACTTCATTATTCGCTATGTAAAATATTTCGTAAGACCAATTTATCAGTACTTCATTGGCAATAATTTTTGTTTTATATCAATTTTCTACATAGCACATTCTTTTCATTAATTACAATTTAATGGGCTCTAATGAGTGTTAGGAATGAGATAAGATATGTATAAGAAGGAAAATTATTAGTTTTGTTAATTTAGTAAGCGTTCATAGGATGTGAATGGAAAGTTATCAGACGTTGATCCAGCAGAAAGCGTATTAAAAAGACGGGGCTATAGGATACCTATATAAATCTCTTCTCTTCTCTTCTCCCCTCTCTCTCTCTCTCTCTCAATTTTTATTTATCATTTGATTAGAAGTTGCTTAAAATAAACAAGTACCACTTAATTAACGTTACCACGCATGATTATTATTTACTTAAAGTCAAATAAATGTCAATATTTTTAATATTCATTTTATGTGAGCTTACGTAGACTGTTGATCATATGTCAACAATTTTCCACAAAAGGTCAACTGGTTAAATTTTCTGGTTAAATTGATTAAAGTCTCTCAAATCAGTAAGCACTTTCAGTTGCTGGCATGCAAATATTTCATTTCTTTCTAACAATTACAAGTGATACTTATGTAAAGATTCTATGCGTTGCTTTGCCGCATCTTCGAAAATAATATTGAAAATCAATCACAATAGTCTCGATTTCAAAACTTTTTCTAGTTCTCAATACGAAATCTAACAATCGATTACAATAGAAACATAAGAATAAAAAAAGGAACAACGAAGTTTGAAATTGTTAGAAAATAATAATGTGAAAGATAAAACGATGAAATTAGAATACTGGAAATTGTTTGTGAAAAGCGATGGCACAATACTGATTAACAGCATCAAAATCGTTAACAAAAGTAAAGAGGAAGTTAGCCAAAAAGTAAATTCAAGATATTAAATCATCTACAGCTCACTTATACTTGAAACGTATCAAGAATACCCTCCTCATTGTTAGAACGTTAAATCGTCAAGCAATATCATTTTTCTCACTCAGCTCCAGTCGATAAAGACGCGAGGCTGTAACCCATCAAATTGATCGACCGAAGGCCGATCGACTTTCGCGTGTAAAACCCGATTATCTCAAGGAACTTTATCTCTCATTATACCGAAGGCTGCAATATCTATAGTCGCTAGCTACCGAATACGACTGCCTTATTATTAATTTTCTTTGTTCTGACATGATGAAATCAGTGAGTGGTATTCGGGCACTGTTTGCTTTGCTTTCACCAATACACCTGTACAGTAATAACTCGTTGTACACCTGATAACATCGCTTCTCAAAACATGACAAAACTTTTAATTTTATTATTGAAATAACGAAATGGTATTTGTGTTTTGCTTTCTCTATTTTCTTTCGTTTTCAAAGAACAATTGAAAATTAACGAAACAGCTAACGAGAAGAAGAAAGAAATATTAATGAATATAGTAGAACGATTATTCGAAAGATCAATCAGTGGAAAATAGGATGAGTCGTGTATCTATAGTAAATCATATATTATGCAACCACGTTTGTACTTTGATTCATGCTTGAAATACTCTAGTTGAATTAATACTGTGCCATTCAAGACAAAATTATAAATGATAATGATATTGTTCCATTTATTTTTGCTGGAAAGGACAATAATCCCACTATAGGATGAAACTGAAAAATCCATTAGAAATTACGTTAATATTAGTAAAAGCATTTATTAGCATCATTATATGCATACAGAATTGATTTGTATTTTATAATTCGCCTACCTTTCAAAATCATTTTGTTTCCATTCGTTTTATACAACGTTGTTTCTCATTATTCAAAAAATCATTGACAATGAAGAAAATCGTGATAGATTGTCCCTCATTAGTACAGGTAAATGCTGTCCTGTCAAGTCGCTACAATCATTACTAATAATACGAAAACATTTAGTCGATTAGCTACACGAGACATAAATATAAAGTAAAAGAAACAGTGCAAGAAGGAACAAAGAGAATCGAAATAAACCAGTTATACTTTAATACCTTGTGCCATCAACGAGAAAAATCAAATCCGTCCTGTTTTTCATTTGACCAGCTTCCCCATGGGTATTACTATTTATCTACAACTAATCAGGATACACCTGAATGTTGTTTGCGGTTATACGAGTCGAACGTGATGCACTGGTCATTCGCAACTCAGAATTCCCAAGTGTCAATCAATGAATCATGAATACACGTCCGAGAATTTATTCAGATCATCGTATCTTTTTTAGTTTAGATTAGTCAATGATATCACACGGAGAATCGTCAATGCTTGCGAATCGTGTTTTGTTTCGCATTTCGTATCACGTGACTTTAACCTCTCTGCATGTATACACGAGATCGATTCTTCATCGATTCTCTATCGATTCTCGACTCGATAGTAAATAGTAAAGGATTTTACGATTTTTTCAATTTCTATGGAAATATCAATAGCAGTATATACCTGATATTATTTAAGAATTTATTAAAAAATTTTTTCTATGCAACCAATTTAATCATTTTAATTTTCAATTTATGAACAAGATCAATACTACGAGATAAGATATCTCGACTCGTGAGAAATAGCAAAAGTTTTTAGAATTTTTCCTTCTTTGAAAGCTGCAATAATAATAAGACTTGAATATTTCTAAACGTTTATTTAAAAATTTTTTCTATGTAATCGATTTAAACCTTTCGCAGTTATGAAGAAAATATCTCGCATGTCCGCCTTTCGATATTTACAATCGACTATCGTTTTATATAAACAAAGAATAAGAAGATTCGTATCTCTGCACTGTATTTAGAATCGTGGTTGTCAATGCTAGGTATTCAAGTAGTACCAGGAAATTTGTTACGAGATGTGTTCCTTCCCAGAATTTGAGAATCATCACACACCACAACATCGTATATACCATGTCTCATAATTATTCGAACAATTTCAAAAGACAAGGGACGTTGTTTGAATAATTCAAATTACCTAAGGAAATAATCCTTAGGAAATACTTAACATTTCTAATAGAAACGAAGAATGAAATCTTTATCGATCGAATTATATATTAATGTTTTGTACATTAACACGCCTTTGACGGATGGAAACAAGTTATAGTGAAAAATAGCATCTCAAGTAGCATATAAGTGTATTCAATGCCCGTTTATTTTATAGTCAAGAGATAAAATAATATAATTTTCCATTTAAAATCGCTCATTAAAATTAATTAATAAAATAATAAAGTCAGTTTATTAAAAAATTTATTATAAATTTACCTTATATGACAAGTACGTGCGCGCAGTGGAAATTTGTAAACAGCTACAACAAATTTGATATAGAAGAATAAACTTCGATTCGAATAAGTAACAAAACTCGTTTATTTAAGTATAGAGATAAATATAAAATCTCGAATTTTTACTTGCAGATGGGTACCATTCTACAACAATCAATACTGAGAGGCCGGCAGATTAGCAACACTGGCAAGGAAAAGGATTTACTTCATACATTATTCAGTCAGGCAGCGACAAATTATTCCAGTCAGCTAGCAATTCGCTACGAAGGTAGTTATCACTGATGTTATTAACAAAGTAGAAAAATATTTTATTAAATATTTTGATAGATAACAAATAAGAAAAAAAATTCCAGAAGAGAGAAGCGAGTGAAGTTCGAAAAAATCAATCAATATCGATCATTATTCTTTATTTTACACTTATCTACAAATCTACCTATGAATTGGTTTTTTTTACTAGAATAAATGATAACAAATTTAAAAATTGAAAACGTATCCCAAAGGAAAATATGTTATATAGCTAATCGATATTTTGTATTCGATATTACTATTCATCGTGGCACTTAGAGAGCTAATATACATATGGAAAGAAAAAGTACAACAACTGAACAATTGGAAAAATTCTGAAAACATAATACGAAACATATGCAAATGAAGCATTGTAACACATCTTTCTTTTTTTTATCAATTTCTTTATTCGTTTGAATTTAACACAGATGACAATGGAGAGGAGTATACGATATCCTACAAAGAATTAAACGAGCTAACCAATAAATTGGCCAGAGTTTTCCAAAAGCTCGAGAAACCAGAAAACTCATCGAAATCTTTCGTGGCGGTGTGCATGAAACCTTCGCATCGACTACCAACCGTATTGGTCGCTATATTGAAGGCCGGTATGGCATATCTACCCTTGGACGCGGAGTTTCCAATGGCCAGGGTGAAACATGTTCTGCAGGAAGCGAAACCTTTCACAGTGATAATAGAGCAAGGAGGTAAACACGACATCTCGTCCCGTTTCTTTTTCTCTCTAACTAACAATTGAACTCCTAAACCGGTTAACTCGATTGCTTCAGAGATTTATATACATCTGGATCGAAGAATATGGAAGTCATATTTAAGTCAAAAGAGTCAAAAGATCATCTAGATACCGGATGGTTAAGCAGTATTTAACTATCCCTAATTTCTATGTCTGTTCTTCTCCTTTTCCATTCTTTCTCTTTAACATTAAGAAAAAGAAAGTTCGACAAAAATAAAATTCTTAGATGAAAGTTTAGCAAGTATAAAAAGTATAGCTTTTTAGCTATATATCAATAAGTACTATAAGAAATCTAATATCACGATGATACGGTCGCGCAAAGGACTTGCTATCTACATTGAACTATCTATAGCGAATGTGTCGATCAATGCTTTCAATCCGTAAAATTTTTCAGGTTAAAATCCATGTAATGCTCACGACAGTACTGCAACGAGAAAAGGACAAAAGTTATTATCCATTTCCTTTTTAGTTAAATCCTGTTCCGTGAAACGTAATCATAAAAATATTCGAATAAAAAAGAAGGCGGAAAAGGAAAGGAAAAGACAAGACAAGACAAGAGAGTAAAACAGTGTTCAAACCAGGTCTATTCGAGCGAGTTAATGTCTGAAACGATTTTTCCTTCGAGCAATAAACGGAAGGACCTTGTAACTTATGCAGATTTAGTTGCGCTGGATTTTAAGGTCGACTGGACGAACCGTTTCTATAAATGTTCGATTTTCTTCGAACATAGTTTACGGAATTTTAACACAGCCCCAGTTTCATTGACGCTCGTTGGCATTCAGTTTTCCGTATATTATCGTATATTATCTGTCTCGTAAAGGGACGTAGCAAAATTTTACGATTGATTGGAACCAAGCGAATCAGGAAGTGATAACGATTGTTGCGATTGTCCTCTTGAGCTCTATTTTCAAATCTTCCAGCGGATCCATCAATCTACGAGGGAACAAGTACGATCACTTACGAAGAGTTGTTGGAACGATCCGAAGCCGAAAAAACAGAGGATTTGGAAAGCGAAGAGGAACCTGAACGTACTGCTATTGTTTTGTATACATCTGGTAGCACAGGTGCACCTAAAGGTATTATCCTTTAATATGATAAATATAATTATAATATAATACACTTATAATGCCTTGCAAATTATAATATATATTAATAAAAAATATCGAAATTGTTTATTCTTCTTCCATGTTCGATGCCCTAGTCATTGCTTTGTGTTTTATTAATTCTTTTGCTATCTTCATTGCTTCGTTATAGGAGTACTTCTACCACATGCGAGTGGGCTGAACCGGCTGCAATGGCAATGGCGAGAGATACCTTATGCGACGGACGAGGAACATTGCGTGTTCAAAACGTCTCTGACTTTTGTGGACAGTGTCTCCGAAGTTTGGGGACCCTTGTTGCAAGGACGTACCTTAGTAGTCGTTCCTAAACATGTTACTAGAGATCCGGAAAGATTCGTAACGATATTAGAGAAGTACAAGGTGAGGGCTTGTAAATAACGGTAAAAATCATGCTTAAAGTAGAATTCTTGGAGATATATTATTTGAGAAAAAGAATAAACGGAAAAGCAACAAGAAAAACTATAGCAAATTGGAACGACTACATTATGTATAACATAATAATTTCAGATTCAACGATTGGTGTTGGTCCCGTCTTTGTTACACTCCATACTGATGTACTTGAGTCTACGGGTGAGTAGTAATTATTGCAACACCTTTATAATCACATACCCGGATTGTAAATTATAGATACCTTTTCATTTAAACGCTTCGATTTAGACATGTAAATAACATAGAACGTTATTCAATTTATCTATCTTTTCTAATCCACTTCTCTCCGTGTTCATGGTAGTCATATTTTCATGCATATGCTATTTTTAAACACCTTCTACTCTCATGTTACCTTGAAATCCAAGTATTTCACCCTTCATACATTTATATTAAATGTAATAATTTTATTACGTCTTTATTGCAAAAATATAGAATGAATTTGAAATCTAAAATCAATGATATAAGTTAATATAAGTTTATTAAATTATACCTATTATCCTTGGATCGACACGCTGATCGATCGAATCACACTTTAACTGACTCAATCATATAACACATTTCAGAACAAGGATACTATGTTACGTTCACTGAGACTTTGGGTATGCTCCGGGGAAACGTTGCCAGTTTCATTGGCGGATCAGTTCTTTGCCACATTCGAGAACGATAATAAAACCTTAGCGAATTTTTATGGAAGCACGGAAATCATGGGTGACGTTACCTATCATCTTCTGAACAATCGAAATCAACTACAGTTGTTGGAGAAAGTGCCAATTGGTAAGTGAAAATTGCAATTTTTAAAAGCTTAAATACAGATGAGATAGGACAATATTGCAAAAACAATTTTGCTACTGTAATGTACGGTATTAAATGTAGAAATTTATCATATGAAATATTATTTCTCCAGAGTTGGAACTTTTCTCGTTCAGTATGATACCGCAATTAATCGTTACTAAGAATACTAAAGAAGAAAGAAATGTCTGTGATAATGACTATTAATGTACATCTAATACTAACGAAATTTATATCAAAAATATTGTGAATTATTTGTCAATATTTGGATTTCAGGAAAGCCATTAGACAATTGCATCATTTACATTGTGAATAAAGAAATGCGACTGGTATTACAAGGGGAAGTTGGGGAACTGATAGTTGCCGGAAGAAATCTTGCGACAGGCTACATTCGCGATAACGAATGTTGCAAGTTTCAGGACAACCCTCTTGCAATCGATCTAGGTAAAACTTTTACGATTCGTTTTGGTCATTTTGTCGTAAAAAGATAAGATGTCAATAAAAATTCTCATACTTATTGAGATTGGTTTGTTTATAGACATAAAAAGTAATAATAAAAGAATTCTTTCGTTGAACCTATAACGGTATATATTTAATAATTCTAATTTTAATCGGGATAATTTTTTTTCATTTAATGGTGTCTTTAATGATTATATTAAAAGATTTGTAATTTATAAAAAAGACGTATGCATCCGTTGTGAAAATTTATTTATCCTCGACACATCTCGCTGTATGTAACGCGTGATCAAGAACCGTGAGTAGTTGTATTGAATACATTACCGTTAAGTGAGATAGAAATAAAATGAAAAACTACGAGAAAAAAGGGCTGAATACGTCATTGATAAAGCAAAATTCTTTTAGAAAATTATGAGATATTATGTAACATCAGGATCTTCATTCTTGAACATTTTACTGACTCTAATCTTGGCACATTACATATATATAGATTGCGAACCAACCAATGTTCCACTTTTCAATGTAGCAATTCATACCTCATTTCTTATTTTTTAACATATTACTCAGTGATTTCTTTTTTGTTCAATCAGAGTACTCAAGGATCTATTGCACTGGTGACTATGCGAGAATATCAAAGGGAGTAGTTGTATATGAAGGACGCGTAGATTCCCAGATTAAAGTTAGAGGACATCGTGTAGATCTCGCGGAAGTGGAGAAAGTAGTAACTAGGGCACCTGGAGTGGACAAAGTGGTCGTCCTTTGTTACAAACCCGGTGAATTATCTCAGGTAAATTAAATTGTTTTCATATTTATTACTTTATAAATTTAATGATCACAATTGTAAGAATCGATTATAAAGATTTTTATATCTCGAATTTCCAGGAACTAATTGCTTTCATAACTACTGCAAATAATTCGTCTACCTGCGCACTAGAAATTGAAACGTTTCTGCAAGCTAACATACCTGTATACATGTTACCACGAGTCATCATCGTAGACAGCATACCTCTTTTAACAAACGGGAAAACTGATCGTCAGGCGCTGTTAAAACACTATGAGTCTTCCAATCTTAATAACGGTACTGCATTAACTGTTAATCTCATACAAATTCCAATTGAAATAAAAGAATAATATCTCTATACATATGATAATTAACAATACTATCTTAGAATTGCTAATTTATTATAATTAATTTAGAACTTTTGCATTACTAACAATTTAATTTTGCAATAAAAATATTAAAACATTTATCAAATAGTAAATCTTAACTTCAAGGCACATAAGATTAAAATTTTTGTATTTTAATACTTTTACGTGTAGAAAGCGACCAGTGTATGAAATGCGATTACACTGATGTACCAGAAAAGGACCTCGCAAAAGCGAAAGTACTGTTTCCAACGGTAGCAACCGTGATCGGAGAAGGAAGTCGAACGAACGTTAAGCTTAATTCAAATTTTTATGATCTTGGTGGAAATTCTTTGAACTCGATATATACGGTAACGAAACTTCGAGATCAAGGTTATGAGATAGGCATCACGGAGTTCATCACCGCGAAGAGTTTAGCCGAGGTGTTAGATCGAATGAAGATTAGCACTGACGTCGATATTCCTCCCGAAACCGATCTTAATGAGGAGAAGCACATTTTTGAGATGTTGAACGATTCTCACAAAGAAGATGTGATAGAGTACGTAGAAATCATTAAATTTACACTTAACATTTTTTGAAGTAGAATTTGGAATTGAATAGCTTTCTCATTTACTCATTTATAACAATGAAATAGTATTATTATTTAAATAAAAATTTGTTTCTACAGGATTATTACAGAAAGTTTCTACAGCAAAGCAGATTTAGAGCAATGGTTAATGCCAGACATAACAAAAGAACACTACCACATAATGATGGAGATACTTTGGAAACCTTTAATAGAGAAAAATTTAAGTTTCGTAATAAAATCATCAGAAGATGGCAAAACAATTGGAGTAGGATTAAATTTCGATCTCTGGGATGAACCTGAATTAATCCTTGATTCCAAATTAATGATTGTTTTTGAGTTCCTGGAGTTCCTGGAAGCGCCTATTAGGGAACGGAGATTACCGAAAGGAAAGGGCCAGATTATTCACAATTTTATGATGACGACAAGCAGTGATCGAAATTCCGCCGAAAATGTGATTTTAATGAAAGAAATGGAAGAATACTGTTTAAGAATGGCTAAAAGGAAAGAATACGCTGGAATATTTACTACGAATACAAGTCCACTAACACAGGTAAAATAATGAATAATTGAATATATAACTAATCTATTAAAACTATGTCAACAGATAATTTAAAATTTTTAATCTAAAAATTAGTTTAAAATTTTTAATGAGGCTATAACAAAAAAAATGTACTTTTATTTAACATCTTCTACGCAAGTAAAGCACAAAAATTAAATTACCCGAAGAATATACTCAACTTCTACTGCTTCGATTATTGTTAATATCATTTCGGATATCTTCGAATCTCTCAATTTTCTTTGTTATTGTTTGTGTCTGAAAATACAATCCAATTTTTAAATTCCTTTTAATATTCCAACTAAAAATTTAATTTAATTTAACTTAAAAGTTTTCGCTAAAAGTCAGTAGTCACACATTCTCTATGGCATCTTTTCCATTAACTTTGTAAATATGTTACTTTTTTTTCTATTCGACTTTCTTAATTTCTTATTAAATAATAAAAGAACAGTTAAATTTATTATCATTTTGTTTATGTCCTAGCAACTTGGAATAGATGTGTTTGGATACGAAACGATGTTGACTTACCAAGTAAACAGGTACAATGCCCCAGATGGTACAAAGCCCTTTGGAAAAGCACCGGACAGTCAACTGGCTATTTGCGCGTTAAAAATGATCACTTAATATCCTCTGAAAATAAACCGGAAATTACTGATTCATGCTATACAAGTGCCCCTCTTACTTAGAGCAATGAAATTAATGAACATGTATATCGATATATATCGGATATCATATTTTTATCATATACTTTAAGTATTAATTTATTCCAACTATAAGAAATACTCCATATTTCGTATTTCGTTTGAAGTAATCATTCTGTGATTGTTTCGTACGTAATATAATCACTATTACTATTAGTTTTTATATAAATTATAATAATATAATTATAATATTGATATGTAAAGAGTATATATATCTTCGCATTATTTGTGAAAAATTGTAAATATCTTTGTACATAGAATAATATATATAATAGATAACATATTTTTCGATCGCTCATAAAATATTCTATATAAAAATCTTAATATGATACGAATTTAAATACTTAGTAGTTATTAGTATTAAATACTTAGTATATGTATTGTTAAATAATTTAATAAAAGAAGTTCGTATATCTTTTGATGACTATTTTTGAGTAAAGTCAATTTAACCATGCAAGTAATAGTAAAATAATTCTCGAATATTTATTGTACATCGTTCAATAAATTCGAACTAAAATAATTTGTTTGTCTTTAGATATCGAGAAATATAATTTCGCATTTTGCTACAGAGGGCACCACACGACAATCCCACCAACACGCCCCTTGAGAGAATCATAACCTTTAAAACGTCGAGAGAAATGTCAAATTTGATAAAATTAATTTTAATATAAATATACGTATACATATATACATATATATATGTATATACATATATATGTACATAGTATGAGTATTTACATTATAACGTAATGATAGTATATTATTTTAATTTTCTAATAAAAACAGATTGTTAATATGGTATTTGTACATTTTAACACACATTGACGGATTTATCTGTCAGTAAAAGTTTCGAAATGGCTCCACTCACAGATTTGCTGTCATGTAGCATAATCGAAAAAGATTCTAACGGTGATATACTATGGACATGGTCCTATCCAATAGTTTCAGACTCGCAAAAAGCAGTTGTTGCAAGGAAATGTAATTTAGAACTAGAACACAATTCTTCACAGGTATTTGTATTTTCAAGGCATCAGTATGATTGGTTCTACATACATTGTAGTGAAGTATTTGATTCAGACAAATTACCAAAAGTAAGTTACATGTATTCAGGTACAATAAAAATATATTATTAAACTATTAAAATTATCTTTAAAACAGGTAAAACAATTTGCATTGGTTTTATTTGCCAAAGATTTTAATCCAAGAAAATATGAAGTACTTTCAAGAGTTCTTAGTAAAATGTATTGCAAAACTGGCATTCCAACAGAAATATTACAATTGTATTTATCTGTATTTACAAAAGGGTCATGTTCTACTCAAGAAAATGGAACATTTGTCTCTGATGATTTTAACAACCATTGTTTCACAATAAATACAAATGTCAGAGAAATGATCAAAACATTTGAATTAGAAACAATCTTAATATATACAGCACTTCTACTAAAAAAAAGAATAATTGTCTACCACCACAGTTTGGAACAACTTTTGAAGTGGATTGGAATATTTCCTGCATTAATGAAACATCGTAAAGTCACTGACAATTTATTCCCTTGGGTTGATTTGATTGATGATGAATTAGCAGAACTAAAAGTACATTGACTAACCTATATTTTATTATTTAAAATTACTGGAAATTTCAACTAATTAAATTTTTTGTAGGTACATTCACATTATATTGCAGGCTGTAGAAATAGTTCTATTTCATCAAGGACTGATTTGTTTGATTTACTTGTAAATATTCCAGCCAGAGAAATTACAGTTGCATCGCATGCAAAAGGTAAAAAAATATAATTAAAAAACATTGTTTAATGAATAAACAAATTATGTAAATACAATTACTTTTTTTAGAAAGTCTAACAATGACAAAGACACATAAAGAAATAGCTCTATTTATGATTCAGTTAAGTGAAAATCAATCCTATGTAGAAACTCAAATAATATCTGAAATAAATGATAAAACTCAAGATCTACTAAATCAATTGAAATCTCTAGCTATAGTTCAAGGACCCGACGGAAGAAAAATGGTGTCCGCACAAACGCTGAAAGAAAAAAATTTACCGCCAGCAGTAGAAAATTTTTTAATCAACTTAGCTATAGCAGAAAATTTGTTTTTATTATAATTTTATATATTTTTGTAAATATATTCTTTAACTGTAGTACAACTAAATAAATTATTTCATTTAGAAAGAATATCTCAAGTATAATCTTAACTAGAAACTAAAAAATTCAAATTCGAAATCACTGGTTATGCAGTTCAGGGACAGTAACATTGAAAATAGACCTTTACAACGTCTAGTGCCAACTCCACTTGTTATTTTCATTCACACATAAACGACATCAAGAAAATAGTCACAATAAATATTTATCATTAATCTAATAAAACCAATAAACTGAACTACATTTTTTGCAACATTTTTACCATCCATATAAATTGTTTTTAAAATGTTCGAAACTGAGGTTGACTGATTTGACTTACATATTACGGGAAGCCATTTTTCCATAGTGGCCGCCTTTCATCCGGTACACGCGGTTGTAGTCCGCTGTGACAAACGTCGTATAGTAAAAAGGGATAAATCCTAAATTTTTCACACAAATTTAGTGGATTCTACGATAGCGTGTATGGTGTGAACTCGACTATATTCGTGTGACAAAATGGCGCGATATGGACAAAGACCTGAAAATGCTCTAAAAAGAGCAAACGGTATGTACTCTATTCCGTAACAAGATATGACATGGCCGATACCTATTTAATTTTGATCTTAAAAGTTCTTTTGTCCTCTACTCAAACATTTCGCAATCCATATTATTTAGCTTAACCACACATTTTTGTAATCTTAGTTCATCGTTTTAAACAATATTTTCTACTTGTTGTATAACATTTAAGTTGCTTATAGTCACGTCTATTCAATTTTTTTTTAAATATTAAATTTGATCAACCATATGTACTTAGAATAGAATGATTGTATACGATCAGTGCTTTGAAAAAAGAATGTACTGCAATTATCCGGTGCAATTAAAATACAGCATTTGCTTTTTTCGCGTATAATATTGTGTGAATGGAAAAGATAATAGTTTATGCTAAATAAAATCCTATAGTACGTGTTTTTCATAAGAATAAGCGAAAACTTATTATTCTTTCATTGAAACATTATTTACACTCCTTTTTTTTTTAATTTTTTCATGTTACTAACATTGATCTGACTTTGACAGTACAGTATCTATTTATTTATTCTGTTATATAAACTTCAGTTATATTTCATAATGCAATTAGTAAAAATATCATAGTGGACTATTGTAGATTAAAATGATTAGTTTTATATTTTTTGAGAAATTTTATAACATCTGTTTGTTTTCTTAACAGAATTCATCGAAGTAGGAAAACAAGCTCGAGCATTAGATACCTTGCAAGAAGTCTTCCGCAATAAAAAATGGACGTACAGTTGGTCAGAGTCGGTATTAGAACCTATAATGTTCAAATACCTAGACCTTTGTGTAGAACTAAAAAAGTCACATATAGCAAAGGAAGGCCTATTTCAGTATCGGAATATGTTTCAATCCGTAAATGTTGGAAGTTTAGAAAATGTCATACGTGGATATCTACGCATGGCAGAGGAAAAAACGAATCAAGCTCGAAAACAAAGTCAACAGGCTGTTATAGATATAGATGATCTTGATAATTTAGCTACTCCTGAAAGTATTCTATTGTCAGCAGTTAGTGGTGAAGATGCACAAGATCGAAGTGACCGCACTATCTTAACACCATGGGTAAAATTTCTATGGGAATCTTATTGCCAGTGCTTAGAATTATTAAGAACTAATGCTCATGTTGAAACACTGTATCATGATATTGCACGTATGGCCTTCCAATTTTGTCTTGAATATAATCGTAAGACTGAATTTCGTAAACTATGTGAAAAACTGCGGAAACATTTAGAGGAAATTTGTAAATTACCAGCACTGGTCTCTAATGTTTCCATGAACAGAGCTGAGACACAACAGCTGAATCTGGAAACGCGACTTAATCAGCTTGATTCTGCTATACAAATGGAGCTATGGCAGGAAGCATTTAAGTCCTCTGAGGATGTACATGGTATGATGAATTTATCTAAGAAGCTTCCAGTACCAAAAACGATGGCCAACTATTACCAGAAATTGGCCATGGTTTTTTGGAAAGCAGGAAATTACCTTTTTCATGCTGCAGCATTGTTTAAATTACTGCAGCTGTCTCGTGAAATGAAAAAGAATATGTCTTTGGAGGAACAGCAGAGAATGGCAAATCGCGTTTTATTGGCTACTTTGTCTATACCACTGCCATCAGCTCATCCTGAATTTGATCGATTTATCGAAACAGACAAGAGTCCATTAGAGAAAGCCCAGAAACTTGCAACACTTTTGGGACTCTCTCATCCACCAACAAGAGTTTCTCTATTAAAAGATATTGTTCGTTTAAATATTGTCAATTTAGCATCACCACAGTTACAAGAACTATACTCATGGCTGGAAGTTGAGTTTCACCCTCTAGTGCTATGTACCCGTGTAGATTCTGTTATTCAAACGTTACAAGCAGACGAAAATAGTCCATTGACTCAATATATTCCAGCCTTGCAGGATGTAACTCTGGTACGACTGATTCATCAAATATCACAAGTTTATCAAACTATACAATTTGATAGACTATTGGAACTCGCCAAATTCACAACAGATTTCCACTTGGAACGTCTGTTAGTGGATTGTGTAAGATACAACGATATGCAAATAAGAATTAGTCACGGGAAAAAATGTGTGCATTTCGGTGTCGATTTATCGGAAGCACAGAGGGAAGATCATCCCGATGGTCCTGTGTTACAAGCAATGCCTTCTGAACAGATTCGTTGTCAACTTGTAAATATGGCCACTGTATTACATCGTGCTATCAATATTATTAATCCTAATAAGAAGAAGATGGAGCGGGAGAAATTACGTGCTGCCATGGTAAACCATTATCATGAAACCAAGATGAAAGAACATCAGAGAATCTTGGGAAGGCACAAGATTATAGAGGAAAGAAAAGAGTACATTGAACACATAAATACGGTTCGCGAGGAAGAAGAGATGAGAAGGCAGGAAGAACTGCAAAGACAGCAAATGTTAGCTGAACAGAAGAGACTCGAACAAGAGAGAGAAGAGCGCGAGAGGAAACGACAACAGAGTGAGATTCAACAAATTAAAGATCGCCATTTGAAGGAGAAGATGCAACAAATATCTCAAACTAGTCACGGTCAGAAGGTACTAAAGAAATTGGTTGAAAATGAAATTAAGAAGTTAGATGCAGAAGAAATCGCAGCTCGAGAAGCCGAAGAATTGCAGAAAGAACGCAGAGAGATGCAGCAAAAGTTAAAATCTCAGGAGAAAAAAATTGATTATCTAGAACGTGCCAAACGTTTAGAAGAAATACCATTGTTAGAAAAAGCAGTGGAAGAAAAGATGGAATTAGCAAAGCAACGTTGGGAGCAACAGGAAGCTGAACGAATCGCTGCAGCTATCGAGGAGAGACAGCAGGCTGTCGCAACTCGAGAACGAATGGCGAAAATGAAGGAAGATCATGATATTTTCTTGGCAAAACTTTTGGCCGAGCGTAAGAGTATTTATTTAGAGAAATTGAAAGAATTCGAGAAGGTGTTGAATGAAGAGCGAGTTAGCAGATTGTTGAAACGCAAGATGGAGCGTAAAGCTGAACGTAAAGCCAAATGGGAGAAGGAACGATCTGAAGCTGTTGAAAGAAGACGTCTAGAGGAATTACGTATCAAACAAGAGGAAGAGAAACGACGTTTGGAAGAAGAAAAGGCTAAGAGGGAGGAAGAAGAGAGAACAAGACGTGCAGAAGAAGAGGCAAGAGAAGCTGAACGTTTGGCTAAAATTGAAAAGCAAGCCGAAATTACTAGGGCTAGAGAAGCTGAGGTAGAACGGAAATTAGAAGAGGAGAGACAAAGAACTAAAGAAATGACCGATACATGGAGACGTGAACAACGTTATCGTACACAAGAAAAAACAGGTGCTTAATGTTAATTTTTTAACTTTTTTGTTAAATACTTTTCTAGTATTATGTGATTTTTTATGTTTTTTATTTGCTTATAGTCGAAATGTCTTGGCGTCGTACTGTTGACCAGAAAGATGATGGTATTAAAGAAGATCCTGCTCGTTGGAAAAGATGGGAAGCGAGAGATGCAGATAAGTGGCGAAAGGATGACGATAAACCGAAAAAAGATACGATCGAAAGATGGAGAAAAGATGAATATGATAAAGATGACACAAGAGACAACAGAGATCGAATAGATAAAGACCGTGGAATGGATGGGCGATCGGTAAATATAAAATAACTGTACTAAAGTTTTTATGGAATTATTAACAAAATATATTTTGAAACATTTAATTTTACAGATGCGTGATCAAATTTCGGATGGGCCCCGTAATCGTAGCAGAATTTCGCCGTCATCCGTCGAGTAGTAGCCCGTCCTCTCGAGTTCTCGCACCTGTCGCTTTCCGTTCGCGCTCCCGTTCCGTCCTCTCGTCGCGAAGAAACACGCTGCTAGCGGTAGTGGCGGCGGTGGTGGTGGTGGTGGCGGTGGTTATCGTCGAGAAGAGGGAATGCGTAATTGGCGTGAAAAGGGCGATGCGATACAAAATTCACCTCGAGACCTCCCGAGACGCGATGAAAAGTAAATATATTTGTACGAATTAAAAAATTAGTCTTAGCAACACTGGTATCAATATTTAGATAATAAAGTTTATGAAAATATATTTCAATTAATAGGCGAGATGACTCTAAAAATGATAGACTTCCACCAAAACATGATGAGAGAAGACGACCACCAGAAGATGACGGATGGTTGCACGTGAACCGCCGTTAGCATAGGACCGGCAATAACCTATAGAAGCAGTGTTTATTATTCCTCAAAAACAGTGCATAACATGCAATTAGTCTTTTGCCTGAAACTATTGGCGTGCCCAACTCTACTGTTTTGTGCACCGCTTCATTTCTCTCCGAACATATATATAACGGTAACAAGAAAAAAGCACAAAGATCTATGGGTCGTAGCCAATTCACACATTATGAAACAAAAAAGAAAAAAAAGGAAATGAAATGTAATATTAATAACCGACGATAAGGTTGAATTTTTATAATTTTTCTAAACTGTGTAACAACAATTTTCTAAATCAACCACACTGCATTATGTGTATTAAACTTGTAAAAGAAAATGCAAAAAATTCAGGAAGCTTGAATACAGTATACATATGAAATATGAATCAATGTACAGAGCAGAAGAGATGGTGAATTGTATGAGTGCTGACGATATTGAATTGGATAGGGTTAATCTGAATGCAGAGGTTTAAAGTCTCAAAACATTAATAAAGTTCTCTTTTATCCTAATTCTTACGTTAATTTTTGTATAAAACTGGTATACATTGCATGACACCTTTTCTTTTAAAAAAAAAAGGACGAAATAAAAAGTAATCGTGTGACTTTAAAAGATTTATAGTAATCTTGCATACACATCCGGTGCAACGATTTTTAATTTGTATAATAATGCAACAAGTTTTGAGACAAACGTAAATGCAAACCTCTTTATTATGATGTAAATGAAGATCTACGCATCTTATCTGTATTGTCTTTTTAATTGTTTTATTACATATATGGTATAGTTAATAATTAAGATATTACGTAATAAATAAATCACTACAGAGTATCAAACTCCGTTTCTATTTACAACCTATGAAACTTAAAAAACAGAAGATTCATGAAATCTTGAATTAAATCGACTTATCTTTCAGTCGTTGTCGTACATACAAACACATGGATAAGAAACATGAATATGATATTTATTAACATACGATATGATCTATTTTTTGTTCTCATTTTAAGGGCAAAACATGTATGTTATCTTTCTTACGAATCTAATTGTTAATTGCAAAAATCGCTGAATGTTTCTAAAAAGAGAGAGATTAAGTTAAGTATTAATAAATGCGTGTAAAAAATGAATATTTTAAACACGTGAAAGATAAGAAAGATAGTAAAAATATTTAGATAATAAGTCGACCAACATGATTCAACGACGATAGGTGAAATATACTATTATTCCAGTAGAACAAATTGCAATCTTGTCGCATATATATTTATATCTGTAACGAGATATTTCTCGAAATTAATTCACAAAAATATAGCATAGTTCAACATCATATATAGTATACACTTTGTCACACGCGTACTAAATTGTTCAAAATATTTCGGATCACGCAATAATTACGGTGTAAGTCTATAACACCATGTAGAAATAATCAATTACACGGCCTGGTTTCCACTCTCAATAATTTCAGCGGTCTGAAAAGCCTTGCGATCATATTATTCAAATAAAACATTCAACCGGAGACTATATTTTGATCAGAACGTTACAAAAATTAGATCTTCTCGCACTCGAGTTAGTGAAATTTTGATCTGGATTTTATACAGTCTAATTTACAGTTTATTTTTTTTATACGTTTCAATAATTTGTGTTAAATACCGAATATAATTGAATTGTAGAAATTAAATATTTTTACGAAAATATTTCATGTTTTACTTTGCAATTTTAACAATATTGGATGGATCCTATTAACGTGCTCATTCTTGCCATTTCTTTTATCTACGATGCTAAGAAACGATACTAACAAACATCTAGGAACTTGTCGTTTCTCGAATAGCAGAAATATCGCAACCTGTTTCCTGCTTAATCGACTCCTATTGCTTCGACGCACGCTAATAAATGCGAGTAGCACTCTTGTGTAATTTTTGTAATAGATCTTTCTTCTATTTGAGTCCACGTTTCAAGAGCCTTGAATTCAATACAGCATTATCGCCGCGGCGGTCTTTTCCTCTAGTGCCGGAATTGCTTCCAGTCGTTCGATCTTGTCTCGTCCTGAGCCCCAACCAACCAATGCTATGCTGATTAAATGCACCACACCGGCACACACAACGAGCCTGAAATAGTGTCAACAGAATAAATATTAGAGGATTTTGTCTTTTCTATACTTAAAAATTATTGTCGATTACGAAAGAAAACTCATAACCTTTTCAAAACTAAATTCTCAATCTTTTTCCTTACCATATTAATGCAAGTGAGATTAAGGATAACTCATATACTCTTTGTCATTTCATCTTACATTTTGACATATATATCTAAGATAAATAAAGTAAATGAATACTTAAGAATAATATAGTAAACATAATCTCACTGTTTAAATAATAAAATATTTACACTACAAGCTTTATGTTAATTCAAATCAAATAATATGCCAACGAAACAAGTTCTACGACATATTAGCACTCAATGTTCACGATTTGAAAAATCGTTTTACCGAAATTGAGAAATATTCTTACCAAAATGAATAACCAAGTTCAGCAGAACCTTCACTGGTCCACATATTGTCGATGTCCTCCTTTGGAAGCACGTTAAAGAATAACTTCGTATAATATTGCACCAGCCAAGTGCTCGTGCTCGCCATGCACATTAACACTGAATTAAAATCACCAATTAGGTCAACGTTACAAATTCGTGTTTCTTATAATCCTATAATACTGATCTAATATATCTCATTTCTTATTTTTTTTATCTTGAAGAAAGAAAGTAAAACAAATTAAAATTTGTTTTCAACGTACACGTTACAATATTTATGAAATATACTCCAGGATCTGAAAGGATCTTGGATCTAGGTGAAGTGGCTGTGTTCAAAACGGCAAGAAGAGCAGCCAGACCAGCGGTGACAAGTGCAGCGGAAGTCGTAGTTAGAGTACTGATCCAAAGACCCCAGGACATCACTGTAGGGTCTTGTTTGATCATCTGAGGCACTGGAACGAAACAAAGGACCACTTTTATAGGATAACTTTAATAATAGTCTTTTAGATTTCTTAGTGTCAGCAGTAAAAATCAGTGACCCAAACCTCGTTATCTCACATTTATACTTCAGTCGTTTGCATTCAAATATTGGGATACTTTCTACGTTATTAAAAATCATAATTAAAGGAAAACAAAATTTATATGCTTTATAATAAAAAAATTCAATTATTTTCTTCATTCTCTAAAAAGAATTAAGTGAAAACAGTTAATAAAAACAAAATTAATTGAATTGAAGAAAAAAATAAGTTTTTAGAAAGTATGCCAATTTAAAAATATAATTCGAGATGAAGGATTGTTAGTATTATTATTATACTATAATATTAATCGAGCAAAATTTCATTAGCACATTATTAATTTAAACAGATTATTATTATACGTAACAAAGTTTCATTTACTTCTTCGCTTCTTCTAAGTAAACCGAATCGCACTCTAGATTGGCGTGCAAACTGAAGTTATCGTAGCACGTAATGAATAATTAAGCGTGCAGTAAATACTCTTGCTTTGGCTAGTTCAAGTTATATTGCATCGCAAATAACGGACTATTTAATTAGCTTCGAGCAGGGTTCTTAGTGAATCGCCAAGTTAACAACTTGTGTCCACGAAAGGACATCCGAGGAATTTCTCAAGAGCTGCCCTTTCCTTGTGTTCGATGTCAACTCAAAGTATTCATTTTCAGCGAAATGCCCGTATTTCACATTAATAAAGAATGTATGAACTTCTGAATGTTTCCAGTTCATCTTAAAAATTGTTTTCAATCACAATCAGGATATAAATGGGAACAAAACGTCGAATGTTGCTTGTCTAAACGTTTTTTGATAAATCAAAGTTTGATAACCTTATCTACTTGAAGGCACTCAAAGTGTTGTTGAGTGAAATGTTTAAACAAAGTTGCTAACAGCATACAAGTTTGCTTTTATTCTGACCTGAAACAATTGCATCTATAAGTATCCAATATGAAATATTTCAGAGACTATGAAGATCAATATAAAAATATGTAAGAAAAAAATATTGTTACACCAATTTTATTAAAATGGTATCATAGGCTCTTCTGCAAAACTGAAAGTATGTTTCTGAACATAAAATCATAAAAAATTTTAAACTAACAATTTATAAAAATTTCCATGTATCCAGAGGCTTGAGTATTATTTATGCCATTATACCAACATGAAGAAAAGAATTCAAAACAGCATATACCTTGACTATACCATTAAGATATCAATTAATGTATCAAATGCGTGACACCAGATGAAAATAATCAAAGAAAACAATTGTAACTAAATCAATATAGGGAAATGCGATCTAGGACTTTCATTGGTCGTGAAAGTTTTTCTGGAAAAGGGATTTTAATATTCTCCGTGGTCAACATCGGCAGAGCAGTCGATGATACGAAGTAGCCGAGCACGTGAAAGTCGACCACGAGGCATGGTCGTGGATTTTTGCACACTGAGAAACCAGTTTCTGCTCCTATTGTTATAACAGTCGCGGCTGCTCTCACGCACGGAATCTTTCCCTGGGGCCGCTTTTCTTTATTCAACCGCTTCTTCTCCTTGCCTTCTGCTTATACGCGTGGGTGTCGCAAAAGTTTTTACCACTGATGAAATCTCCAACGGGGAGGAATTAGGAGCGAACATGACAATTCCAAACTCTCGATTGTCTGTTCTGCTGCCAAATTATCTTAAACATCAGATAACTCAGGACATTAATCATATTCATATATAAAAGAAAATTTACACTCTTTAAGGACATTTGAATTTTAGTTGAATGAATAAATAGATTCCCTATCTCCCATTGTTATGTATTGCTCTACCATTAATCCTTTCACGAGTACGGTCGTACATGAACGACGGGAAAATTTGTGAAAACAATATAACACATGTGGTAAGAAGAAAATTCCACGATTATATCAGTAAAATTAAAAAATAATTAAATGATATATATATTTACGATAAACATTTATGATAGATATGAGCCGTGACGGCGCTAGTGAGTTAAATGGAAAATCTTAAGACTGTCGAAACGCTTACTTGTGAATGGCTACTATAATAAACCATAGTATCTTTTATAGCCACCGTTGCTATTCGATAACTTCTGATTAACTTGATTTTTTCTATCATACGGATATTTTCACCTTTAAAAAATAATAATAAAATTTTAATCATTACAATTGCATAATTGTATAATTTTTTAATTATTTAATAATTATAAGTTTCATGTACCTTTTTACGAAAACTTCTAGAACGAAAATAAAACAATTTTTCAGTTCATTATAACCTGCAAAAGAAAGCAGATTAATATTAATGGTATTCGAAAAGTAATACGTTCCATTCACTCTTGTCATTAGTACACGGCACGTTCAACGAATAATCAAAGCGAATATGTTAGTCGCGTGCATAGTCGCGATTAATTCTTTTCTTGATTATCAATGAACTATGCCAGGTAAGAGGAACGAAGACAGAGCGAATTAATAAACGATTACACCAATTCTATTGCGACATGTATACCAATAACCGCGTTGCAGGTACAATAAAACAAAGAAGCTGTTATTGACCTCATGTTTGAGGTTAGTAACTATATGGTGGCCTGATCGTGCACGCAACGCAACTATCGCTACATACATGATCGAACCGCTACGTGTACCTCGCGTGTCCCTTTAGGACCATTCCGTGGCTCGATGAAAGAGAAACGTTTCTCATGACGCATGCCAACAATTTCATTGTCCTTATCGGCAGGGACAGCGGAATTCGATTCGACGGTGGCTCGATCTAGCTGCTTTTATAGAGATATGTATACACGGAATCCACTGGTAAAGTTAACGGATATTCTTTATGCTTCGATGCAAATTGGCTGCAGCGAGAATTTTCAATGAGCTTCATATTCGACGCATTATTTACGGGTCGAATTACATTATGTAGGCTAGGGGATTATGGTGGTTATAAAATACATGACCTGAATCCGAGAAAGAATTAAGAAGAAAAATGCGGCAGATAATTGTTTCAAAATTAATCAAGCTTTAGATATCAATAATCTGCTATTTATGAACTGAATCGAATCGTACAGGTTAGAAATTGAAATAATAAGAAATAATAAAAGGTTAAAAAGATTAGAGATTTGTATGACTAATTAATCATCGTTTCCATAGGTCTGGTAAATGCTATCAATTATGTGATTTATACACATGTCCTATTTCGAAAGAAATGTGCGAATGAATACAATCCCTGAGAATGAAAATGATAATTAGCCGGTAAAATAAAATGTTTGTCAGGAATGATCACGTGTCTCATAAAGCTCTAGAAGGATGGAAACTAACATGTCACAGATTTTGCTGAACAAACGTCATCCGAAAAGGAAATCCCACCTTAAATTAGAAATTGTTCATAATGAAGTTTTAATGCGATTGCTATTAGATACTTATTACTGGATTAAAATACGAGAAGGTAATAACAAAAATATTGTCGCATTAGAGTGAGATTCATCTGTAATAAGAATTGCAATGTGGTTGATATTTTACACTTAGTTGCCACTGGGTCAAACTGCTTGGCCACGAGGGTCCAATTACCGTCCTGCTACATTCTCCAATTTCCATAGGTCCTGATCTGTACATTGAACTTCAGAGTTATTAAAGACCGTACGGAGAATTCTTTAAAATGTTTAATTCCATGAATTTAAAAACGCTAGAATAACTGACAATTATAAAAGGAATTATGATACTTTTTAGTTTGTACTAGTCCTGTATAGATCGTTTGAGAATCAAGACCTTGAACATGGAGTTTCTGTTGCATGGTCAAAATTTTAGGAACGAACAAAAGCTGAACAGAAGAAGATACTGTATTCCTAGATCGAGAATACGGTATAAAACGATTGCTGAGGGAAATGAATATCTTAAAATGCCGCAGGAAATGCAACGGGGAAATTGGCTTTGTAGATCAAGCGTCCAATACAAAACTTTCCCCCCAAAAAAAAGAAATAATGAAAATTTTTAGCACGAATGTAATAAAACGAAGCCTGAGATCTTGGCAAATAGTTTACAATAATCTGATGTTACAGAAATAACGTCGCAATAAAAATATTTTTATCTTCACGATAAATCGGAATGGCCGCTAGATGCAAAAATATTCTTTAATACACCATATAAAGCGAGGTAAGTTTAAAAATACACATCTTTACTATTATTCTTTATCCATTAATTCTCATTCTTTTATCTTGTTAAACTTTTTCTGTTACCCATGTTTCTTAAATTTTTAGGATACATCACACTAGCAACAAGAATAATACTAAGTAAATACTCGTTACGTTTTAACAGATCACAACCCAAATATTGCACGATGCAAGTATGTAGCTATATATCATGATACTAAAATATAGATGAATCCTAGACAACAATTAAATGATATAGGTCGTTCTAATTATGCGAGTGTACACTATCCAATGTAAACTACCCAACACTATTTGAAGCACAAAAAGACACGCTAACGAGCATATTCTACACAGCGATTTCACTCCTATGGGGCAACCTTTTGCGTCTCGTCTCGCGCGAAAATTATGCCGCGACCGAAGTGCGTGAGACGAACCGTTATGCAGGGTAAGCCCGTAAAATTGTTATTCAAATGTTTCAGCTGCTGGGCAGCGTACCCCGTGGATTACGTGTACCGGCTGAGTCCACCTTTGGGGTAAGATGCTAGAGGGGAACGGATGTTTTCGCTCGAGTGCCCAACCGGCATTGTACTGCCGCTTATGGCACGATAACAGTTTCCTCTGGTAATAACAATTTCTATATTAGGATGACAGGACACGCGAACATTATAAACATTCTTGTTACTTGGGTTCGACTGAGAAGCTGGGAAAGAATCATCGTCTTGACATCATCAGCGCTCCTCTCGTGTGGATCTATTGTAAGTTTACTCTTTTGATCTTCTCGTTTGTTAACTCTCAAGATGAACTATAATAATGCTAAAAAAAAAGATACCAATGCAAATAACGAAAAATAGGAAGAAAAATTCTTAGAAATCTATGTGATTACATGAAAAAAAGAGAAATTCTATCCAGAAGTTTCCTTAAAAGCTGACATAACAAAAGAAAAATTTTAAAACTACGTGTTCATCCATATTCTCACCATCAATCACCGCAGTACAACTTTCACCCTAATTCAGGTCAGAAATGATCAAAATGTACACAAACGAGGCACGTGTTGAACACAGGCAGTATTTCTTGACGAAGAACTCGATTAGCAGAATTTCGCGAGCATTAACAAATTGGGTCCCGCCAATCGAGCAACATAGTCGAAGGAAAATGATGGAAGCACAGCGATTATCAAATGTTAGATTTATGGCAGATACACGCGCGACTCTGCTGTTGAACATCTACAGAAATCGCGTGCAGATACAGTTATGCCGAATGAGATTCTCCGGTCTGGCCAACTATCCGGCAGAATTTATGGCCCCAGTATCGCATTGAGTACCTGAAGTACCGGAGAATCTTCCACGTGCGGTTCTCCACGACGATAACTCGTCGGCTGATATTATTCCAGGTTATACACACTGCTCGAGCTGGCAAAATCAAAGTTTCGTGTACATCATGGAAACTGGACAGACCGTATAAGACAATACTAAGGTTTACATAATAATAATTCATTACCTTTGTTACCTAATTTAATGCTAATTTCATTTTAGATTCAATCCGTGGTTCGACTTTGGAACGAAGTATACTCCAAAATGTTGTGTGGTGATTAGGAAACAAGGATGATAACTTCTGGACACGAGTCGTGGACAGGATTCTTTTTTTTCTTTTAGGACAATGGCCTGAAACGTTTCAGAGAAGACGTTGAGTAACGCACTTGGATAAATTTGGTAAGATAAATAAATAAAGACTTTTCCCGTAAATAATTACGGGACATTATCGATTAGTGTCATTGCAGGTTGCACACGGATAGAACTAGGCTGTCGTGCATGGTTGTTCCCCTGAAGATAAGATCGCCTCCACGTCGAAGGAAAGTTATGTAAAACGCGTTGTTGGTGAGAAACTCGTCAGAAACTCAGATTAGTCAGCGGTGAACAGATTGAATAATTTAACAGATCAGTATCCATGTCCAGTACACGATCGTGGCGAAAAACTACGTGGTCAGTGTTTTAACTCATAAACTTTATCGTAAATTGAATTGAGCAAATAGCACTGATGCTTCCTGGTGAGCTTCGCAGCCAGCAATCACGTGCATCGGATGCCAATCCACATTCTGGATGTTTGAAAACCCTCGAATCTGGATATTGGCCGAAAGACGAGAATGAAACATTTTTCGTCGTCGTAACATTAAAACTATTTAAATACTTATTAATTAGTGAGACGTAATTGCAAATAATTTAATGAATTTTAATTTTAGAAAACCGTAGAGTTGATAACAGCTTCTATGTCTTGAAGCTCCGGTTCAAAGCACAACCTATAAAAGACTGCAGAAAGCTTTTGAAAGCATGGAAAGAAGTCCAAGTGTTCAATTAGCGCTTGGTAATGCATTTACTATTGGATACACAGCATAACAACTATACCTGGTGGTGAAATAGTAAAAAAAAAATAGAAGGAGAGAGAAACCATGGTATCCTGGGATAGAGGATGTTTGCAGATCAGGGACGCAGTTAATCGAGCCCATTAGCTGTAATGTTTTATCTAACAGTGTAATTGTTCAGTGGTTAGAAACGTATTTGGTAAGTTTTGAGTAGAATCAAATACTGTAGAACATTTATATTAAATTTATTTCAATATCATGAATGAACTTACCAGAGATGTGATAGGTTCTCCAGCCATAAGCGACGTTAAGTTCCTTCTTCCCTTGAAGAAGCCCAAAGTGAACTCTACCCGCACTTTCTTGAGGGTTGGGAGTTCTCAAGGGTCGCGCCTCCACCCAGTGTTGCGTCACCAGGGCAGCACAGACAAGTCCACCGCCCAACAACGATAGGAAGAACGTGGCAAAGATCGTGCCCCTTCGGAACATCGACGTCATCCTTGGATCACGGGGCAAGCCAGTCCTCGGATAGTTTGAGATCACTGGACAGAGGAGGAATGAAAGAAGTGGCAAGTCATACCGGATGCACGGCTCGCATTCCTTTCATTCTGAGAGCGACCAACCCATGAAACTTCAATGAAGTTTATATACTGTGACAGGAAACAAGTTTGTGTACGGTGCATTCCTCCGTGTAATTAAACTCCGGTACATGAAGCTTGGTATATGATAAGTATGTGTTGCATTAACGATAAAATGATTATAGTTGAACAAGTGTGGTAAGAAAGGTACATCAAAACAATTCTGAATAGATCCTAAAGCTTCATTAAGTTTCGGTCCTATTTTTTCCATAAGGTTAGAGGTAATTTGGGATGTTAAAATATTGAATAAAAATATCAAAATTATTCGAATAACTTGCACAAATTTCAGGGATACCAAATACATCAAGGTACGTGGTTCTCATGAAATCATAAAGGTTCCAGTTGTATGATAAGAGGTTCATCAAAGAGAAGGATCCCAAGAGATAGACTATGTATCTATCGGCTGGTCCTAGAAGGTGCAAGAGAGAATTGGTAGGTCCGAAGAACATAAGGATGCAGACTTCGAACACTATCGTAAGTAAGAGTCGAGAGTCAACAATCATGTTACTCTGAACCTCGAGATTTAACTGCTACCTCCTGAACCATAGATAATCCTTAAACCTTTCAATCGTATTGAAACTTTCTACACCCCTAAAATCTTCTTACTTTTTTCTAGACCTCTGAAACCTTCTGGAACCTCCAAACTGTTAAAATTTCCGGAACCTATTGGAATCTTCAGAACGTTCTAGAATGCTTGATATTGTCAGAACTTTTGAAACCATTTGAAATCATTGTCTGTTCTGAATCCCCCCTCCCTATGCTACTAGAATCCTTACAATATTTTGAAATTCCATTAAATCGTTCGATACCCTTAACATACTCTAAACCATTAGAATCATCTGGAACGATAAATGCTTAAAATCTCTACTTTTTCTCGAGAAACTGTATTTGATGGATAAACAACATGCTACTTTGTGGCATAGCAAAATGTCGTTTTATCTCCATTTCGTAACTCGGTACTTGTTAGTGCGTGGTACAACTTGTTTCCTTTTACGTGTAAATGCGAAAACCATTCGGGGACAGCGAATATCTCTCATCCAAATACGATGTCCGTCTGTCTTCGTCGGCTCATTGGAATGGCGCCTTATATTTGGAGAATGTTCCTTTCTCTCCAGCAGTTTCTCTTTTCAGCAAAGCAGCCTGGACGCTTTAGCACGCGCGCTGTATGTATAGACGAGAGCAAGACGCTCTCCGCGTGGGCATCAGTAGTCTACTTGACGACAACAACTATTTAAATTATGCCACAGAAACTATGCCGCTTTCGCAACAATTATCCGGCTTGCTAGAAAAATCTGCTGGCGTGAAAGCGCCTTGATCATAGACCACAATAGGATGTCAATAACTTTTTCATCCCTTTGATCTTGTGCTTTGCAATCTATAATATAACGCTATTTTAACGTAATATTCTGATTTAAGAAGGTTCATCCAGAGATGCTGCCCCTCGGAATTATACAATAAATTCACAATATGCATGGTTCATTCAACTTTCTCATATTAAACCAACTGTAGGTAACTGAAGTTATTCCCCACGCCACTCTAATACATTAGCTTAACTTGCTTAACTCTCTGTGAGAATAGATTGTTATGTATTTAATTAGAATAAAAAGGATCGTTTTAACAATAATTAATAATGAACTACATAGTTCAGCTGAGATCTCTCCGCTATCCTAAACAAGACTATGAGAAGCGAGACTAGCGAATGACAAGAGTCCTATCAAACATCAAATCCACCCAGCGTATCGGACAGCGCATTAAACGACGACGACAACATAGCAATTAGTTTAATCCTCCAATTATTTCAAGCATTAAAATCCAAACCAACCGTTACCAACTTTCCATCACAATTACAATGATCCGACTTATCTCTTAACTTCTATCTTTTCGGCTGTAGGGTAAGAAGACAATTGGTATAAATACCTTGTCCCTGGCTCTCGACAAAGTGCACCTGGCTGAGGCTTCTCGAGAACTCTCCCTGCTTGACCTTCTGTGAGAAGTCGCCGTTGCCGAGCCTCTTAGAGAACTTGACGCGACAGTTGCTCCGAGGTTTTCCTGGCTTCAGCAGTGACGACGGCCTCGGCCTCTTCGCAAACGTATACGGGATAGTATAGGGTTGCGCTACGTAAAAGTAAATCGGCCGGTAGTCTTCATGGAGATGGGGCTGTACGAAGCCACCGTTCGCAGGATAGCTACTGTACACGCTCGGTGCGCCGTTGCTGTACGCGTACGAGCCCGTGTAATGGATGCCGTAGTGGTTCGCCGTGTTTCGTGACTTCCTTTTCACCGTTTTGAAAAAAAGAGAATCCCTTTCGTTAGACAGGGTCGCAACTTTATTAGGACTGGTTGGTGAGTGTCACTTGACCCGATGCTCGATTGAACTTCAGTCGAGTACAGTGCAGATAGAGAATGAATGCGACACTCTGTCAGTTCGTTTGCTATTTGTCTACTACTGCTTCTGTTGTTAGAGGAAGTCTCTTCTTTGCTAGAGTTACGTGAGCTATGTTACGGTAACTGGTTTTTCTCCGATTACTTGTAAAACCGAAGTCGAATCCAGTCGGTTTTTCGTGATTATCCTTTCACCGTTATGAAGCTTTTTCCTTTTGACGAAGCGTGTAACAAGTGTCTGAATGATTGATCGCTTTCTTAGTCTCTTCGAATGTCTCTCAAGATCTGGATTGCTTTTCTCTTGAGTAAAGAAGGATCCGATAGCCTATTAATTATAAATTTCACGTGGATTCGCTCGTCGACTGGGAACTGGGACTGATTATTCTTTCAGAAGTTCAAGGAGAAGACAGAAAGAGAGAGAGGTATAGAGAAACCCTTCTGGCGTCCGAACAGAAATTCCTTTCCGGCGATTCTTTATCAAGGGACGTGATTCAAGCCGGCAATTGAATTTTTCACCGGGAGCGTCCGTTCCACGTGCAGGAGAGATTGTTTTCCCGTAAGCCCCTGCTGCTGTGGGTATTTTAAATGAGAAAATCGTCCCCTCTTCGCTCTTTTCCCGCTTAATTGTCAATTAAGTGTGCGCACATATACGTGTTTGAAAGTTTTCAGCCCCTGACCATCGCAGCCTCGAGTTAACTCAAAACGTTGTAATTTGCATGTAAGAGTGAAGTGCTGTGACGTTATGTATGCGCGTGTTTCCTTCTAGCTATTTTCAATAATAAAGGACGAACCTTCTGAAGTTAGGGTTCCCTTAGTGGTTTTTCATGAATATTCGCGCGCTCTTTTTCATGTCATGCTGAGTGTGTACCCTTATCCTCGATTTTCATTCTCTTTCTTCTTTTTTTCCCTCTTGCTCCTTTTCCTTTTTTTGTATTTCTTAACAACCGCTGAAGTATCGTTCTTTAGTTCTAAGCGAGGTTAAAATCCCAAAGGGCTCTTAAGACTCCCTTTCCGAATTAAAATTTGAACGTCCCTGTTACGACAACGTGAAGCTTCCCGCGCATAGTAATCGCATTAATTGGCCACGTTCGTTCCGGTGAAATCGTAAAAAGCTTAACGAACGCCTCCCTCTAGGTTAATCCTATACTTTTCTTGCATCAAAGAGATGCCGCAAGTGGCAATAAGTATGAATTTAGTGTTAAACTGGTTAATTTCGAAATTAGAGAAAAAAAAAGAATAGAAACTTGAACATCACTCGACAGGGATTTCTTTTCTCCGATTCGGTAATAAACTGCAGAATCTGCAACGAATAATCAGCACATATACTCGTTTCAAATTGTGTCAGCTATGTATCGTGCACTTCTTGATCCACTTTTTTTTTTTTTACCGGAACTTATTATGTTGGCGCGCGATTCTGTATTTACTATGCTTCGGGATTCTTCTCGAGTTCCGCTCGGAGTCCAGATTTCTCGAAAGCGGCAACGTACAGCGTGATCTTTTCTTCCTCTCACCGTTTCACGTTGTGTCAACTGTAAACAATGCGGCCCACGTAAGTCACGCGCATAAAAATGCGATATATATATATATATATAT